TCAGTAATTGTTTCTTTCCTTTTTGAGATGAGAATAGATAGTAATAGTGAGACTGAGAGCGAGTTAGGGAGACACTCAGAAAAGTGAATGTTAATTGGGAATGAGTGAGTTATGCTCCATAATATTAGACCCTGTTATTTGCAGGCCTTGCAGACTTGGGCCTAAAACACCGACCACGAACTATCGTAGTGTCCGTGGCACACAACTGGACTTCTCCAGACTCATTGACATATCTCTTAAGTAGAAGGGATATGAATGGTTTGAGTCTGTCCCGTGCGTGCACGAGCGTTATGCTCGACACGGCTCCACCAGGATAGTTTCTGGTCGCATGCACAAATAGAATAGACATTTTTTTCATCAATTCAACGTGATTTATTTGAGAGAGAAAAAAAAAGAATCCATTTTAATGAGTCTATGCGATAGAAAATCGTTGAACACGATGATTCCTACAATCGACGACATAGAGATTACCATGTCGATCGAAAGATAAACCCCTGAGACCATTGAACTGATTTTCTCCTTTTCCTTCACCGTTTCCACCCACAACAACAGTGCCCTGTTTTGCTCCTTTCGGCCAACGCATTACTCTATCGTTAATGCAATCTGCCACATAAATGGTACCCATTGTATCGACGAACAGTCCTTGAGGAGACGACAATTGTGTCAAAGCATTTCCTTTTCCTTGACCTCCAGCGACAATAATTCCTTCTTTTGCATCTTTTCCCCATTTCATCACACGATGATTTGCGTTGTCTGACACGTAGACGTTCTGTTGTTGATCGACAAAGACGTAGGTCGGAAAGTTGAGTTGATTAAGACGAGTACCTTCGCCATTGCCACCAGCCACGATGATTCCATTCTCGTTCCCTATTTGATATCGTCTTACTTCATGATTGTCGGTGTCAGAGATGTAGATATATCTCTGACTATCCATGGCCAATCCCCAACATCGAATGTTGTCGATGAGGATTTCTCCTTCGGTTGTATCACTCTCACAAGACCATCGTACCACACGTCGATTTCCTGCTTCACAAATGATGAGACTATCCGTCTCTTTGTCGATCAACACGTCGATTGGTCGATCCAATTGGTCCAATCGATTGCCTTGGTCATTGCCACCAGCTACTACTTGTCCATCCGTATCACCCATCTTCCACTGGATGATACGATGGTTCCAGCTGTCAGCGATGACCATTGTTTGAGTATCACCAACGAAAAGGCCATAAGGACTCGAGAGTTGATCGGTAGCATCGCCGTGTCCATGACCTCCAGCAACAGTCATCCCGTTCTGTGCCCATCGAGAATTGACTGAAATATTGGGAATTACTATAATGAACAAAAAAGAAAAGGAATCGTCATCGTTGTGATCGAAGAGATTTCCCTCTCTCGTGGGGAAAGAACTATGAAAGAGATATTCGTCTTCCTAAGTATATACGGTTCGTCTGATTTCACTAATTTTAATGATCTTCGTTTGATATTTGTTGAATCGATATATTTCCTATCAAGTGATTTCTTTTCTCGTTAATTTAAGCTGTCAAATAGATTAAATTTCAAGAATAGAATTAAACGATTGTAACTCATATTGGAGTTTTTTCAACGATCAGCTATCAACCTATCACTTTATATTATGCTAATGTAATTTATCGTGATGCAACAAAATAAAATTTGAGTTTTTTTCTACTTTATAATTAAGTATAGTACATTATTTTCAATGGGTAAAATAAAAAAAGCGATCGATGATTTAATTAGAAACATTTTCAGGTAAAGTTTGAACATTTAAAAATAGAATGAAATACTTCTTATATCTAGTGGATCAAGTTAAACCGTTTTTCATTGACGAGCATCAGATATCTGCCATTGTTCTAGAGTAATTACTGACATGTGAACATCTCAAGTCAAAATCCAAATCGAGCAGACATGAAATATGAATTCCATTTAATATATAATATTACTTTTGGTACCTGAAATAATTTAACTCTCTTCCTAGGTACTATAAATTTTTGCATAATTACAGATAGCATAGTGAAATCTACTAATTTAATATATTTCTGATTATTTTTGAAGCAGTCTAATCGGTTTTATTCTGAACTTAATTTAGTCACTTGTGTATAATCGGCAAAAAAAGCATTTTCGTACACTGCATTGAATTCTAATGAATCTACAAAATATTCTGATTGTTTCGCGACGTATAATCCTGAACCCAGAAAGAAAAAAATGTTTAGGTGAAGAAAGGATTAAAAACAAAAACTCAGGCTGCTACCTTCTTAGTCAGTATAGAACAGTAGTTGCTCTCACAAAAGAATAAGAATAATAAGTAAACGTTACAGAATGTCTATAGCAATGTGTGAGCATGTTGAGAAAAAATATAAGAAAAATGGCAGCAATGTAAGAGGCTAAATGAATTCTGGGAGTTGAGTGAATTTAAACTATGCATGATATTCAAATAATCAGAGACACGCATAGATTTAAAAGAACCCGAGGAAGTCTAATATCAGAGAGATTTTAGGATTCGGAAGGTTCCACACAATTCAAATCAACCTAGAAACACATATATTTCGAGGAATGCAAGGTAGCCTGAAAATCCTCCGGAATTTAAAGGTTACCAGCAACCTGATGAATCAAAAGAATCTGTGAAATATGAAAAATTTGAGAAACCCATGGAATTGCTGAAATATTAGGAATCAATAGAATTGTAGGAATCCAAGATATACATTGGATGCAGAGAACTTTGAGGATGTATGTGAAACTCGAGAGAAGTATCTCATGCATTCCTCAAGGATAAAGCAGAAAAAAGAAGAAAGATCGATGAAGAAACCATCTCATGATGAAGAATATAAGAACAAATTTTTAAAAATGTCCTTTATCAACAAATGGTCGAGAGAACAAAAAAAAGGGGATGCTATATGTTTTTTCTTGTCGAGCTTCATCATTTATCGACCTGTTTCGATACTAAATTTCGTCATGTCCAAGACAAGATAGAAGGCCTATCGACCAAAACACATCTATTGAATTGCATCAATTTATAAAATGTAAAATCTTCGTTTGATAAGAGTAGTTTTCATACAATATCCGGCGTTTTCACCACCACTTCGTTCCACGAGTGGATGCAGCTGAGGAAAGCTTAACATGCAATACAAGAGCCAAGTATTAAATTTCAAGCCTCTGTGGATCTCCTGAAATCCCATCTTATCATGTTTAATATCGAAAACTAATATGCCACGAATATACCAGATTTACTTTTTGACAGGAGTCAGAGAATCAAGAGATTCTAGGAACTCTAGGAACTGACGAAAGAGGTTTAATGAGAAGAATTTTCGAAACTCTACAAACTGCACGAACCATCGAAAATTCCATTAAATGAAGAAACTTAGAGGTTCCAAGTATATCAACGAAGTCTAGGAACTTATTGAGACAAGGGAAACCACGAAACTCAACAACACGTTAGTAGGCAAAAATCTGTATGAATTCAGAGAAATAAAAAAAGTTATAGAACTCTACAAACTATGCCAGTAACATGATCTTTAGGGACTTAAATGTCTTCGAGCAATCAAAGGACCTATGAAACTGAAACTAGCATGATTGCGAAAGAAACTTTTAAAAGTGAAGGATTCAGAAGAATCTTTGTGTCAGTATTGATAAACAATATTGAAAAAAAATGAATCAAATGCTTTTGCAACGAGTTCTGTTCATTTTCTTATTTTAAATTTATGAAACTTTGAACTGCCCATCACACAAATGTTGACTTTGACGCTAAAATCTTTGTGGAAAAAGATTAAATACGAAACAAAATCTGATTGATTCTAAACAACAAGAAAAAACTATGTACACTTATATATAACATATGGATGTAGCTTCGCCTGATCGAGACGCTCAAGAGTTAAAGTAATCGACTAGATTTAGGTATGTTAGGTTCTGATTCTAGATTCGACTGTTCTAGTCTCTTCTAATAAACAATCCAAAACATTTGTATAAGCAACAGCACATGTCCTGTTTATGTCTTTAAGAAAAGTTGATCATAATGTAATTTTGGAGATAACGCATCGCCAATTTTTGAGAGAAAGATACTTGTTTTCGACAAAAAGTCAAAAATACATTTCTAAATAAAGTAAGGATTAAGGGCATTCTGTTAGCCGTCCTCTTCGAACAACTCTTATATGTACAGTCGATGTTGAAGATAAAACGATCATACCTACGTTAGTGTCCTTCAGCGAGTGAATGATAATAAAAATCTTATTCATTACTGAATGATGATAGAATGATCACAAAACCATATTTTGTTTCTCATTGCTACTTGTTGTTCAATCAGATTATGATCTTCTAATAGTTCTAGTTACTTTACAAAACATTTTCAAGAATCCTTAGGCAAAAGGTGCAAAAATTCAATAAGTCGAGCTGAACCATTAATTCGAGATAATGTGAGAGTACAAAATTTCTGTAAAGAACAAAATTCTTGCATTTTTTTTATTTAAAAAAATGTCCAGATGCTTTTGCTTAGATTTTCTGATAGAAATACAAAGAGAATGAAAATCTTATTCTGATAAGGGATATGTGCTTTCTGCCAATCAATAAATTATGAAATTTATTCTGAAAAAAATCGATTAATTAGATACGTGAGGACTATGAACAAGCGAGAAAATCTGAGGGATAACTGTGATATTGTTCACATAATTTTTATCATCACTAATCATGCTCACTTTCAAGGCAATAAACAATATGATGTCCTACTGTCATGGCCACTGGCCATGATACATCTTAATATACTCATTTATCCTTTCTTACGTGTATAATCGTGCAGTCTGCTTGTCTTGTGATGCATTTTGTTTCATATGCTTTGTGTCTTATGATACATTCTGATTCTGATTATTCTTTTATTTTTTGTTCTTTTTCTTTCCCTTTTGGAATGTTTATATATTTTTTTTCGATATATATACATATGTTTTGCGCGTGTAAGAGTGTTCTCTCGATTCTGCATGTGTAAAAAAAGAATGAATAAAGGAAGTTTAACACCTACCTTTTTTTACTGGGACATTGGTTTCATTGTCGGATGTCTAAAAGTATGAGCTATTTGATGAATATTCATTTCCCATAATGATAATCGCCTGACCTTTTTGACAGTGGAGCTGATTTCAATATTTACGATATTGGTGAAGGTTGGTGTAGCTGTTTTTTTCTATGAACAAAAGGAGATAAGTACGAACAAAAAACAAGGCATTAAGAAATTCTTTGAATTACTTGAGCTTTGCTCGAGTGTGTCTCTTTTTTTGCTTCGATTTTACCAATAGCACTTTTTGTCAGAGTACCTGTAATATAAAGCAATTATTCGTATTTTAATAGCTTTTTCCGAGCCATTATCTATAAAACTTAATATATTTTTACAGTTTCGCGGTTTAGTCGAAGCAGAGATGTGTGTCACGGATGCAACATAAGAAATTGAGACTTTTCTCATGGCAAGAGTGTGAGTATGAGAGAAAAGCATAAGAATGCATGGAATCGAAGGTGTGAAGGTTTGATATGAAGGTGTCAGATTTTCTCTTCACCGTCATTTTCACCAATTTTCGTACCGACACTCGCATCCTCCATAAAGGACAAACGCTTCGTGTCGATAAATAAATTTTGAATTACCTCTCAAATATGGAGTAACTTTATACGAGTCAACTTTGAAGAAGCCGCAGGACCTGCGGATTCATGTATGCTTTGTGTGTCTGAGGAGTGACAGTGGTTTCGAATACATAACTCTCACCATCACCAATCATTCTCACTCTCAAGGTGATAATCAACGGTATTCTACCTTTATTTGATAGAGCACTGGTGTTCATGCTGAAAAACTAAAAAGCATGAGATATTTAATGAATATCAGTTTCCTAGAGCGATTATCATCTGACCTTCTTTAAGCTTGAGACAATTCCAGTGTTTGCAGTACTGGTGGGAGCTGCTGTAGTTGTATTGTTCTATGAACAAAAGGAGATAGGTATGAACAAAAAAGGGCATTAAGAGATTGTTTGAATTACTTCAACCTTGCTGGATTGTTCTTCTTGTTGTGCTTCGGCTATGTCATCAGGAGTCGTTGTTGAATCGTCTGCAATTCAAAACAATCATTTATTTCTTAATAGATTTTTTGTGCCATTTTCTACACCGGATTTATCATGTTTCACATTTTTATTTCACAGAGAATACCCTCAATGGTTTTTATTTTAACTTCGTTGAAAAACCTGCCTCACATACATCCAAGTGATACTTATTAAAAGTACATAAATAGTCACTAGAAATACTATCTGGTTCCTATTAGCTAAGTCTTAGCGCTGTCAAATGTATTATGTCGAAGAAATGAGGGATTGCGCTCTGTCTCTGAAGAAAAATCGCTTTGGAGAAAATCTGAAACCAGCGTGGAATGTGATTTTTTTATGTATAGCAAGACTTTTATTTTTTTCAAAAATACGATCAAATGTTGACCACACGGAGCGCTTTGAGAAGCGTATCTTTGAACTTAAAAGCGTAAGTAGGTATGTGAATACCAGTGCGTGTGTAAGTAACGGCGACGTAAAGACTCTCTCTCATTTAGCCACCAACCAATATCCACATTCCCAAAAAAGTTACCAATACCTCTCTGAAAATACGGATGTTGGTGAGTGAACATAAAACTGTCACCCTCGCATTTCTTCATCCCTATCACACGAGATACAGCTGCTATTGCTGCACCACACTAAAGTACGCTGCAAAAAGAAACCATAGAAAAATAAGCCTAGAAAAGGATTTTGTTAGTCTCATGAGCTCTATACCCAATTCCCATAAACTCTTTATAGGATACATGTCATTTTTATCAATATCTTTAAGGCTTATGTCAATTTTATAGATCCTTCTAGGGTTTATCAAAGTAACGAACCCTTGTGTAACGTCTATCATTCTACGTTTTTTATAGTGTAGTTTTAATATGAAAGTAGATTATTGTTTCCCTTTCTATCGTACTAAAAACATACTATTTGAACTATTGAACACGTACTAATTCATTGGAACTACTGCGAAATGAAAAGCTTAGTATCTCGGATGTGAAAGAGGCGTACTAGCTGAAAATTATAGTGAATATTCAGGATTGTCAGAGCTAAACTCGATAAAAATGCTAAATAAAGTGCAGTTTGTCTCATTGAATAGTGCTATTTCAGATGCATCAGATTTCCTACTTGTTGTTGAAAATTGAATATCTTTGCAAGTCAATTAACGTTAAAGCTTACACTTTAGTTATAGTTGGGATCTAATATGTCGCTATCTGATAAAAATTCCAGCTTGAACAAATGTGAGATAACTAAGATACAAGACATTTACTGCAAACAGTGGCATCTTGAGGTGTGATTTAAAAATGCGATATGTCTCGCTTAGACAACTATGTATACAAATCTTTTTAGAGCTAAACTATTCTAGTAGTCCTCTATAAATGTCGCAAATATGAGCTTCAAGGTGACGAAATGCCTAGAGAAGTTTTTCTTCTAACTAAGAAATAGCCAGATTGGGCTAAAAAAAATCGTAAGCATTATAAAGACTGAGACTAGGATGGACTTGCTTTCTCTGTTTATTTCGATGGGGTTATTAATTACATTTTACTCAATTTCGACCGTGAGACAATTTAAATTCTAATAATTTCATATTTTTCATCTTCTCAATGTTGAGAAACAAGATAGCTCACGCACAAAATTACTATGGCGCTATTTGAATTCATCGTAAAGAAGAGCAGTAGAATGTACTAGTATGTATACCTGGTTTATGTGATTGACTTCGCTGCTGGCTGCATAAATATATATCCTTCTTTGATAATGAAGCACTCACAAATGGAATTTGACTTGACTTCGACTCTTTTATTACACCATCGGCAACATCACGTAATATCATTTGGATGTCTTCATTGGCAGTTGTAATATGTTGTAAAAGATGTTTTGTGAACAAACCGTTTCTCTGTCCTCTTCCTTCAATCGCAATAGTTCCCGGTTCACAAGCAAATGCAACTAATGAACCAGCCTTGTGCATGGGTTTAAGACCTACTGATTTTGAAACACTTGCATTCGGATTACGTGCATCTACCTCAGGATTATGTAAGTGATAGCTTGTACAACAATCCAATAGGAATATGGTTACATATGGATTGCGATCACTTAAAGTATTGAGAATAGCTTGTGCCTTGATCGCACTGTTGTTTAAATTTGTATCATTCAAAGTTGGACTATCTTTTGGTATCAAATAATTCTGATCCTGAATGTACCGTAAATAAAATTCTCATAGAAAATTGGAATAACTTTTAATGGTAAAATCTGAATACATACTTCCCATTGTATTCCATGTCCAGCAAAATAAAATAGGACCATATCGTCGGGCTCTATCGATTCTTCGAAATCAATAATAGCATGTTTCATTTCAGCACGTTTTAAATGTAGTTTCTTTGTAACAATAAAATCAATACTTTCCAGAGCAGATGACATATCATTCGCATCATTTTCTGGATTTTCTAATTCTTGACAATGTTCATATTTACCAATACCAATTACAAGTGCCAACTTACGTCGTGGTTGAAATGCAGTGCTATCGATCTTTTGAGTCGCCATTAATAAAAAAGTAAGCTTAATCTGAAAAGAATGGCGCTGATATCATGTAATACATCAAAATATGAAACCAGACACAGACAGAGCGACATACACTTCAACTGGTTCTTCAGACAAGCGTTCTATAGATGGCACGGTAGGCTTCCGCATCAGTCATGATTGATATCGAGATAAGGTTCAACTATGAGGCAATTTATCTATATACTCTATCAAGTGTTTCACGCTGAACTTGCGAGAAAACATCCTCAGCTGTCACATCGCTTTTGAGTCGAGCGTATGCGTATCATGTATACCCTAATGATCTATGAATACTCTAAAACAAGTTCGTGCCACTTGCTTATTACTGTCGGGATATTGCATTTTTACTGTATGTTTAAGAAAAAAAGCTGTGGTCCCCTCAGGAACACTAGAAAAAATAAGTTTCGAATTTCGACTTGAAAATTTGCATAAAGATAGGCCTCAAGGAGAATAGTTTATTTTGAAAGTTTCAGATCTTTTCATTGTTCCTATCCTAAGATACAGCTGCGGTAAAATAGCTTATATATACCAGCAGACTCCGATCTTCTTATTTCAAACTAGGAGCAATCAAAAGATCTGAAACTTTCACAATGAACTATTCTCATTGAGACTTGTCCTTGTAGAAAGTTTCAAGTTGCAATTCGAAACTCAGTTTTCCTAGTGTTTCTGAGGGGAACCACGACTTTTTGCTGATGCATACAGTAAAAATGCAATATCTCGGCAGTAATAAGCTAGCGGCACGAAGTTTTTTCAGAGTATTCATAGATTGTCAGGGCTTACATGATGCCCATACGCTCGACTCAAAAACGATGTGACAGCTGAGAATATTCCCTCATTAGTTAAGTGCAACCAGTTTTGCTACATTTCAACTTCTAGAGTAATATGAAGCTAAAAGAGGCCTTTTTGCTCCAATGGTTATAGGTTCTATGAATACCAACAAGGGAAAATAGAAATATATTCTCGAGAGGTCATGTAATCAGTGTGAAAATTTCATCATCGAGGTATTTTTAGAAAGACTAAAGAATATCTGGCTTTGCAGCTATCCAGCGGTACAGGATACTGCTTAAAGACAGTTTTATTGGTCTGATATAACGACGACAACTAGCACTAGCTGTAGCTTAGGACAGGAAGCCTGTGTGTCTCAGAGTTCTTTCGTTCAATCATCTGAGGTTTTCCATACACACTGACGAACAATATATTAGCTTCGAGGGTTGGCATATGTCAAATCGTAGCCAACACATTATTGGGAGTGTGATCCGAGGTTAACAACTGTTATTATCTTTGAGCAACTTATTAACGGTTGGTAACGACGAAATCTGAACACACTACTTTCCGGTATGTGCTGGACAGCTTGATGGTTCAGCTATTTTACAAAGACAGTGTTTTGCACTTTAGACTGTCACAAGTGGTAAACAAGATGATAGGGAATTTATAAGACAAGTTTCAGCTTCCAATAGTAGTTGAGGAGTAGCAGAATCAATACTGGACCACGAGGCAGAGCAGCATAGTCAGTCGCAATTGTAAGACCTATAATTGAACCAACGTACAATTCTTGTTTAATGAGCTTTTCTTTTAGGTTACTCATATCGTAGAATTGAGAATATTTCCATTTTCTCCAAACTTCCATCTTCTTCCTTTGAAGGTAAGATAGAACTCTGCGGGATCGAAGAATCAAGAAATCGATTGGCCGTTCACTCACGGTCACAGTTCATTCATGCACTTGGACGAAAGACTCAACTATCCTGAAAAATTTCTTTTCACTAGCAAGGCATCTGCATTGAACTTCATGTGTAATGTTAAGAACTCGTGTTCATCTTTCGATGTTCTGTTCGGTTCCAGTTGTCGCATCAATACTTCGAGAGAGTTGGAACTAGAGCTTCGCCGGACATGTGCTGCACTATTTCACACTATAGCACATAGCACATTCCTATGCGACATCGCCTAAACTTGCACGCACTACATGCTATTCCATCTCATTGTTTAATGCGTCTTGGAAGAACACTAAGGAAATGAGTTAATGCTTGTAAAACGTTTCCACTTAGCGAAAATGGAAAGAGGCGCACATTGCGCTTAAGTATGAGTATTAAGACAACACTGTCCTGCGAAGGTGTGACTGGAGCTGATGATCAGCTCCTTACTACAGTTCTTAATAGTTCATAACTCTAAATTCTTTTATTCGAAACTTTGTTGTTCTAAGGGTGTGGATGAACATAGGT